GGGCAGTGCCTGCGCGCGCAACCTCGGCCTGCCTGCTGGCCGAGCCAATGCCCGACTGCCCGGTTCAGCCGACCGGCAATTCGGTCCAGACCGGTTCAGACCGGCTGGACCGGTTCAGTCCGTAATTTAAGGTTTCAGTCCCGGTTCAGCCTCTATATTTATGTTTCAGTCCTGGTTCTTGATTTCAATATCATTTTCAGTTAAAATTCTGGGTCCAGTTCAGTTCAGTAAATTATTATCAGTTCAGTTCCGTACTTAACCGGTTCCAGTTATACCGATTAAGTCCGAATACCATATTAAGTCTAGTAGAGCATCTTAACATAATTAATCAGTTAATTTATCAGTCTGAGCATAGTCCTTAGTAATTGTTTATATTATTTTTCAGTTTGATCAGGCATCAGCACTACCTGCATTTTCAGCAGTTCAGGTGGGGACTCAGACTAAGTACTACATTGATTATAATTACTCTACCATGTTTGAGGTATGTATATTCAGTATCCGCCCGAAATGGTTGCCGGTCCATTCTGGGTTCTAGTGGCCTTAATCTGCCCACTAGAGTGTGCACATGGTGTCCGGCTTTGCCGACAGATGTTCAGTTCAGACAGGTGACTTATGTCACGAGATCAGTATCAGATTATTCAGACCGGTATCAGATATCAGTTATCAGTTTCAGTTCAGGTCAGTTATATATGCCAGGATCATGATATTGTTATTATTTTCACTGTTTTACTTTAGTATGAGTTTCCATGGAGCACAGTGTTTTAGTGCTCACGACCCACTTTGATCATGTTTTTCAGGTCAGGATGTCGGGCCGGAGGTGTGAGATGATGGATGATTCAGGACTTTTATGCATGTGATTGTATATATTTTGATGATGCTACGTTTCCGCTGATCTTGATATTTTAACGAACTTATCTTTTGATCAGACTTTCAGATAATTAATGCTTTCAGTAAACCGTAGATTTTGCTAAAAATTAAAATAACGGTTTCTCAGAATAAGTCACGTTTTACGGTAGCACCCCGAATCAGTTTTCGCAAATTAAAAGATTTTATTCTTAAAAGACTTTGCGAAATTAAGCACTCTGATTTCACGATAAGGCGGGGTGTTACATATTATTCATCGGTATTGATTCTTTTTATAGAGTTTACAAGGGAGAAACCCAAAAACCTAACTCTATTAACTAATGGACTTCAGGCCCAATTATATATTAGTAATGTCCATATTAATATATTGAGAAAAGTGCATTAGATACGGTCAGAATAATATTTTATTACATAAATATAATAATTTTATAAATATTAGCATATTAACATAACATACTGTTTTTATTTGCAAAAATACCTAAGAGAGTTGAAATAAAATGCAATCAACATTTACCATAATTAATGCTAAAATTTATCACATCCAAAGTAACTATTCCCTATGTAATTGGTAAGAAACATTTCTCACACATCGATAACGCCCCACTTTCAACCTCATCTATCTCCCACAATTCTGCATCTCTCTCCCACGATGAGGTACTGCAAAATATATTTGGACTTACTGTAGACATATACATAACATATACATATTATACACACTTACTGTACATAAGTGTATACACTATATATACACTAAAAAAATCTGAAGTTTGAATTATAAAAATCGAAAAATATACACTACATATACATAACAAAAAAAAATATATATTAAAGACCTTTACAAAATCGTAAAATATACACTGCATATACATTAAAAAAATCTAAAAACAATGCAAATAAAAAAATTGTAACTATACATCCTTCAATTTTGTATATTCTGTATATGTGTCTGTGTATATATTATATCTTTATTCTGTATATTTTTTGTAATTTGAAGTTTGAATTTGGAATTGCAAGATTTTTGGCCAAGCACGATGTGGAAAGAATCTAATTACCTTATGTTTAGTACTTGTACACTTACCTTATCTTTTTAGTACTTGTACACTTACCTTATCTTTTTTCACTTACACGTGATTATAGGAACCCTTTTATCTTAATTAACATGGTAACTGGATTTTACATGAGGTCAAATAAATGCAATGAATATGGTAGGCTTACAAATATTTTTTTGGCTTCGTAATCCAGCAATTATTTTGCATTCTTGTGGTAAACATCAAATTTTTCCCTAATATATTTATAACACTCCCCCTTGGACATTACTACATGCCTCATTAAAAACCTTGCTAATAAAAACCCGACGGGGAAAAAAAATAGTCAATGAAAAAAGAGTACATGATTTATAAAAATTCATGTGTTTTACTAGCTGCCTCGTTAAAAACCTCTAACTAATAAACCCATTGAGAAAAACTTAGTTAAATAAAAAAGAGTACAACATTTGGTCTTCAGGACCTAATCTTCGGGATTATATTGAGTTTTTCCCTCCCCCTGAAGAAAACAATCTTCCCAGTTTACGCATATCAATACCATAAATGTATTTTTTAAAAGTAGATGTAGGAAGGGATTTGGTGAATAGGTCTGCCAAGTTCTCGCTAGACCTTACTTTTTGTACAATAATCTCACCGCTCTTTTGGAGCTCGTGTGGGTAAAAGAATTTTGGAGCAATGTGTTTTGTCATGCTTCCTTTGACATACCCACTACTCATTTGTAAAACACAAGCTGCATTATCCTCATAAAGGACAGTGGAGATTATATCATTTGTAATTCTACATGATTCACGAATATGTTGGGTTAAAGATCTTAACCATACACATTCGCGTGAAGTCTCATATAAAGCAATTATTTCTGAATGGTTTGAAGATGTAGTAACCATGGACTGCTTGACCGACTTCCAAGAGATTGCAGTACCACCACAAAGAAAAACATAACCAGTCTGTGATCTAGCATTATGGGGATCAGACATATAACCAACATCCGAATAGCCCACCAATGTCATATCTTGATTTTTCTTATAAAGTAAACTAAGATCTTGTGAACCTTGAAGATACCTAAAAATATGTTTAATACCATTCCAGTGTCTCCTCGTAGGAGAAGCACTAAACCTTGCTAGCAAATTTACTGCAAATGTAATATCAGACCTGGTACAATTTGCAAGATAAAGTAACGCGCCAATGGCGCTCAAGTAAGGAACTTCTGGTTCTAAATTTTCTTCGGTATCTTCTTTAGGTCTAAATGGGTCCTTATCCGCTTCAAGGGACCGAACAACCATTGGTGTGCTAAGTGGATGAGATTTATCCATGTAGAATTTTTCTAAAACCTTCTTCAAGTAGGTTTACTGGTGTACAAATATTCCTTCAGGGAGATGCTCGATCTGCAGCCCGAGACAATAT